CTATAGAAGAGAGCGATATCCGCCTATTAGAATAGAAAACATTCAGGTCCCTGCTGCAAGTTCTTCAAAATATCTGGAATTCTTTCTGGATCTGTGAAAAGTCTTACCGGTTCAGATAAACGTGTAAAGCGGCCACTATACTACTCGATCGAAGTTCAGTGAGTACGAGAGTGTAGACAGGTACTTCATGCAACTTCGCTTCGCCTCGTTGTACTTCCGTTATGTTTCGGATTTTCGCGTCCGAATCAAAGGACCCGAAGTTCGAATATGAAGTGTCACACTACATTACTTGACTTCACGAATATGTAGAGAGTCACCTCGCCTGGATTAACTTCGACACTTCCATCGAGAGTGTAGACGACGTTTAAAAGTGTGGCGACGCGACATCCAGGTGAGAGATATGCTCAAGCATGTATTGCCGAGCGATTAAAATTTGGTGGGAGGTCCATTATGGTATGGGGAGGCATATCATTTGACACTCGCATTGAGTTAGACTCGCATTGAGTTACTTTATCGAGAATGGTACGTTAACTGCTCATGTGTAGCGGAAACGGATTCTAGAAGATCATATTTTTTTTATGGTTATTCTTGGAGACGACGCAACATTATATTGCATGATAATGCACGGCCCCACACTGCTCGGATAGTTACCGAGTATCTTGTCGAGGTTCAAATCACACGATTTGTTCTGCCTTCTCGCAGTTCAGATATGAATCCCATAGAACATGTATGGGATGAGATGAAGACACGTTTACGGAGTCATTTACCGGACCCTAGAATGTCAAAAGAGCTTTGCGACATCTTGATGTACAAATGGAACAATCGTTCGCAGAATGTGATCAAAAATCTGATCCTGATGCAACACATGCCTCTACGTTTACAAGTTGCTATTACTGAAGTTCTTAAAATTTTTCTTTTGGTTTAACAAAAAACATCACAAATTAAAATTGTCCCTTTATAACAGCGCTACAGGCATTGTAGGCCCCTGGCTTCTAAAAACTTGATTATTTCCCTCCATTTTTATTGGTCCCTTGCTTTCTCTCTCCAATTTCTCACGTCCATTTATGACAAGTCTTGCATTTCTGCTTCCAACCATTTTTTCTCTGGGCGTCCTCTTCTTTTTTGCCATTTCTCCCTCCTTCAGTATCTTTTTAACATTTCGATTCTGTGACATTCGTATAATGTGACCAAGCCATGTAGCTCTTTGGCCTCGTATTTTTGCCGTAATTGCTCGTTTTCCATACATCCTCGTTATTTCTTTATTCGTTCGTCTTCTCCAAATATTCTCTGCCGTCTTTATTCCTCCGAAGATTTTTCTGAGCATCTTTCTTTCCCAGATCTCTACTTTTTTTGTTCCTGCTGGTTCATTGTCCACGTTTCACTTTTGTCTTTCTCTTTTGTCTATCTCTTTTTTCGCACTTCGTTTTGTCTCCTTTTTTATAGATAGGACAAATAGGAGCTCTATTCCATTGTTTCGGCATTTCTTCCTTTTGCCAAATTATTAATGTCAAGTGAAATATCCTTTCCTACCTTCCTTAAAAATCTCAGCTGTGATACCACTTTCTCCTGCACTTTTGTTATGTTTTAGGTCTTTTATTATTTCTTTGACTTCATTCAAAGTTGGTTTTTCGCACGTCCCTTCTTCATCTTCTTGCCAATACTCATTTCCATCGAGTTCCTCTTGTTGGCATGTATTTAATAGATTCTCGAAATATTCCGCCCATCTATATAATTTTTCTTTTGTTTCTCCTAGAAGGAAACCTTCTTTATTTCTGCAACACTGTGGACTATTTTTTGTAGTTTCTCTGGATTTCTTAACTCCTTGTTGGAATTTTTTTATTTCTTTGTTCATGTAGATAGGCTTCTTCCATGTTTTCAATTGCGTTTCTGGCTGTTCTCTTTTCTTTTTTCTGCAAGTTCTTCTTACTTTTCATCTTCTTGCCACATATATTTCGATCGCATTTTGGGTATTTTCTTTATCTCTTTGTAGTTTTGCTCTGTTTCTTCTTGCCAAAGCATTCCTACATTCTTCATCGAATCAGTCTTGCCGTCTTTTATATGACGTCAATATTTAGTATATCGAAGGAAAATTGTTCATTTTCATTACTTTTAGCAAACTTTGAAGGACAAAAACGTTGTTTTTTGTAAGCAATCCGTTAGTAAACTATGTTACAACCAAAAATAGTTGAAAAGGAATAATAGTTTCTAAAATAAATTCAAATTACGGGGTGACCCAAATTTATTGTCTGCAGTGTATACACTAAAACATAATGTATAAGATTAACATCGGAATTTTGCGACCTTCTTCAGCATTATGCAAACTAAAACCAGTAACTATTAGATATGAATAGTTTTTATTAACATAATCCGGTTAAAGTCAACATGTTTATTTTTCAACTTATTTTTTTGTGCGTAGGAGGATCAAAAGCACTGGCTGAGCATCAATTTTTATTCGCCGTTTATTTATTGCAGGTCGTTCGTAATAAAATATTAATATAAACCGATTATTAATGTATAGTTGCCTCCATATTTCTATCGCCCATCGAAAAAAGTGGCGGTCTAAATGTTTAAAAAATTCGAGTAGCCGCTGTTCAGCGACTTCACGCGATATTGGTTGTTTCATCGATTGTTGTTTACAAAAACAAAATCTTATATTTTTTGTTTTTTAAATGTTTAAAAATGAAATGTCAAAAAATTATCAATCTGTTACTCTGTCGAAAAAAATACCAAGTGATACATCGGTATTTTCTATTATCGTTTAACGATGACGTCACATGAGTAAAAATGCGGAAAAGTATTTTTTCTACTCTCTTACTAGTAAATTGTATATTACCTACTATTTGGATGCTAAGTAAATGCATCATAACAGATACTGACACGTAATGACTAGCACGTAATAATAGTGCATTGTTTACCGGGTAGGAAAAGCTTAACATTCCTGGACGACTGTGAAGATTGCTAAGTCGAGGCGCAAGCCGAGACTTAGCAACACAGAGTCCAGGAATGTGGCTTTTCCTACGAGGTAAACATACTATTTTTCCGCAAATCGTTTAAAATTCGACAGATATTGATTGATTTAAAAAAAACGCGATAATTTTATTCCCAAATAAATGGTGCTTTGAAATTCCTAATAAAATTACTTGGGTTACTATGGAAACGTATTGAGGTTGAATTGTCAAACTTGACGCTTATAAATTTAATTTATGTAGAACACTAACAACTGTACGGAAATATCATTTCCTTACAGTAAGGAAATGACATTTCCTTGCAGTAAGGAAGTCCTGACTTTTTCTTCAAGAAATTTTGACAGGAATGTCAAAATTTCCTGGCGATTTGCGGAAAAAAAAAATTACGCTTCAGTTTTATAAAAATGTGTAATATCACATAAGCCTCGTAAGTCAGTTGGTCGAGTTACCATGGAAACGAATTAACACACGTTATTTTGACAGATTAAAAGTTATTAATCTGTCAGTGTAAATATAGTGGTAATTTAATTTTTATTTTTATAAACGAAAATAATCGTAGAAAAAGTATAGTACACAACTTGCATTGCTCATTGTGATAATCATTTTATATCTTAAAGTAAACATATATGGAGGCAACTTTATCAGCTATTAATATATTTTGACAAAGTAGTTCATAAGGCCAGGAGAAATTTTAAAAAATCGCAAAATCGCAATGGTTAGTAACAATTTTGGCGCTAAGATTTATTAACATATTTATTAGACTTTTATGCAATAAAAGTTTTTATTTGTATATTAATAAAGGTAGATTTACATACGAATTTAAAACTATATATTGACATATTACATTACTAAAAGTGAATTAAAAGTGGACATTAAGAAGATAAAAAAATGTAGATTACGCAATGGTCTTGTAATCGAAGTACGAAATAGTAGTCTGGGACGTCATCCCCAGTTTATAGTGAGTCTATGTGCGACTGACTAATTGGTTTAAGTACCCTGTAAAATTAGATCAGCTACCAGCATAAGATATATACATCATCATCAGTGGTGCTACAGCTCTAGTTGAGCCTTGACCTTCCCCAGTCTATTTCGCTAGTCGTTTCTGTTCATCGCCAACCGTTGCCAATTTGCCGCGCCGATTTTCCTTGCTTCCTCGTCCACACCGTCCCTCCATCTCAGATAAGATATATACACAGATCAAAATAATCTACGAGTCACTTATATTAATAGCTTTAGATCAATGTTAGCTGCAAATACAAAAATGAATTTATGTTTTTAATATTTTTTGTTGTTTTATCCATTACTCGACTCTCCATTATTCTGTCCGTACTACCATTGTACGGCAATGCTGATAAAAATGGCTATAAAAAATTTAACAAACTTCAATGTGTATGCGTTTTTTGTCTATAAGATAAAAAGTAATATTTCTTTATCGATTGATAAAGAAATTGATTTTCGATGTTTATGTGAATTTTTATTTAGTTTTGCAATTACCAATAATGGAGAAACATCATTTAAATCGCGAAATGCAGTGGCGTGATGTCGGGATGCTTCAAGCCGGCAGAATTCAAAGAGACTTTGCGTTGCTGAGGCTATCCACACGAACAGAAGTGTCATTAATCGTTTGTGGTTAAGGTTTCAAGAAACTGGTGATATTATTGAACGTCATACAGGCCGTACAAGAACAACCGACTAGATTGAAGACCGTTAGGTTGTAGGCTTTGTGAGAACGCACTGTAACTGCATCACAATTACAAATGAGGCTGTAAGAGACCAATCAGATGTTTGTAAGTGGCAAAGTAGTTTCTGTTTAAACCGCAGACCTCAGTCCCGACATTTCAACACGATTCCGTAGTGTTATACATTATCCTTGCTCGGTCGATAATTGCGAAGAATTACGAATTCAATAGTTAATTCATAATAAGAAGAATTAATTATGCAACCACACATATTAACTATTATAACCACAAAGTTATTTTTTATAATTATATTAGGAGAATTAACATGAATTTATTTTTTTTTTCTTTGTTTTAGTGTATGAAGGCTTATGTAGAATTCGAGATAGGCCAAGGAGCATATGATATTTCATGTCCTGATGCACAATGTCCGTCTCAGGGTGTTTTAAATGAAGAAGAGATAAAAAGACTGGCTGGAAATGATTTACTAGAAAAACATAAAAAGTATCGACTTAATAGAGGTTAGTATTTAAAAGGAATTATATAGATTAAGTATATAGAGTAGTTAAAAAATTAGAGAAATAAATAAAAGATGGGCAAAAAAGTTAGGGGCCCTTGAGGATACTATGGCTTGTTGGTCATGTTTATACGCAATGTTTTGTTCGAATTCCTTCATGTAAATATCTACTAATAATGTAGAAAAGGATGAGCCATGGCTAATCCAAGATCTTGTTAGTAAAAATAATTACCTAGTTGAAAATAAGTGTTGTCTGTGCATTGTGTTAATATGGTTAACAACCCATAGTATAGTGGAGATCTATAGATGATATGTTCTCTATTTGAATTAGAGCCACGGTGAACTTACGAAGTTCTTAAAGTTGATGAATTACCTAAACTCTAAGGACTGGACCTTCACCATGGAAATACAAAACAAGAAACAGTTTGCATCATCATTTGCATATGGTGCCGTTTTGCATATGGTGCCATACGGGGACATAGTACTGTGGAAAATATTTTATACGCTGCATTTAGAAACGGAATTCCTCCATGGTTAGAGTAATTAAAGAAATCTCCTTTTTTGTGTCCATATTTCTTTTATAAGCTACTATAATGCCATTATGGTCTCGTGGCCATCTTTTTTATATAGTTCAGCTGGGAGATTATCTATTCCGGGTGATTTGTTTCTGGCTAGTTTTTTAACTGCATCTTTAACTTCAAGAATCGTTTGTGGTTCCTCTTTCCTCTCGTCTCTTCCCCTTACCTCATCTCTTTCGTCTTCCAGCTTTTCGTCTTCTTCCTCTATATTAAGTGCCTGGTTAAAATAGTCCACCCATCTATTCAATTTATCTTTCCTTGTTGTTAATAGGTCGCCATTGTGATTTCGGCATTGTCTTGTGGTTGCCTTGAATTCTTCTCTGTTGATGTTAACTGTCTTGTAGAATGCTCTGAATTCTTTCTTTCTGTTGAGGTTTTCTATATATTTAAGTTTCTTAACAGTTTTAGATGTTTTAAAGTTAATACAAGAAAGTCTAAGATCGGCCAAAGATCCAAGAGAACTGTTTTCCACATTTGTAGTTGTGGTTCAGGGATTTATAGATTGCTAGCAAGCATACGACAGCATTATCCACGTCGAAATCTAGAACGCGATGGCTGAAATATCTTTTCCGCAAAAACGAATTAGATTGACCAAGATCTATGACGAGAACCCCACGAGTTGTATTCGAGTTGGCTTAGCAACATCAAAACCGTTCCAGATAACAAGGGTTTAAAGCAGGGCGATGCTATGTCACCCCTACTTTTAAATGTTACCCTAGACAAAACGGTGGGAGGAGCGGAAACTACGATTATTGATATTCTTCGCAGATGATATTGATATAGTTTCTAAGATCACAATATCAATTAAAGATCAATTACTAAAATTATAACAAGAAATCAGTAAAATGAGATTGAGCATTAATGAAGACAAGACAAAATACATTGTCCAAAAGACAAGTCAATACGACACGAGCTAGAATATAGTAAAATGTGTCAACGAGAGACTTCAATGTTGAAAGTCAGAAAATTTGGGAGCAATAATAACAGACAATAACGTGAACAAGACATTCATGAAGAAATTAAAGCTAGAATCAACGCAGATATTCTGTGCTTGTATCATCGAGCAATAAGACAAAAGAGGGAATCTAATCCTTATGACAAGGAGACCAAAAAAGTGGCCTCTGATGGCGGACATATCCGGAAATGCGAATGCGCGAAATTTAAATTTTCCGACACTTATCAACAGTAGCTATATAATATTTTTCAGAATGTGTCTTATACGAGAAAGTTTTAATTAATTATTAATGATAAGAGTCTAAAATACGACACAATTGTTAAAAAACTTCCATATAAATAAGATTTCATGTGACATTTGGGACAAACAATAACATAACCCAACTAAATTTGATGTCAAACAAGGAGATAGACTCTCTTTCCTTGTTTAATGTGGCCTCTAAAGATCGCACTTCCTGTCTAACAATATGTTTGCCCCCACTACCTTTACATTCCCTCTATTGTCTTTTTGCTCGATGGCTTCTATTCTGTAATAAGTATCCTTAGGCCGAAACACATTTCAGGAAAACTAAGAAACAAATTTTTAAAACTGTTATAAGATCGATAGTATTGTACGAATGAGAAGCTTGGATACGAATAAAATCCACAGAAGAAAAATTCGGGGCTTCGAACCAACAGTGTTATGGCCCAATAATTGATGAAGGCACGCATAGACACCGGATAAGAACAAATATAGAGAGGCCAAGGTGCAGAAGTTAAGATGGGCAGATCACATCCAACCAGAACCGAATGACCGATGGATGAAACTAGCATGGCTGTCTAACCCAGAAGGAAGAAGACCACACACAAGATGGAGAGACAACATCGCTAAAGATCTCGATACCATGGACAAAGTAACAAAGACCTTATGATGGACAGGAAGAAATGGATGCAGATAGTACAGTCAGCCAAGAAGTAAATACATTGAAACGACAAAACGTGGTATAAATCTTCCTAAATAAAAGAATGATTGTGGTCTAGTTCACTACTACAAATCATCTGTTGCAGAAAACACCATCACAAAAGACAACCATAAAATTTTATTTTAAGAAACAGGTACTTCTAAACTCCACGGTGTTTGGAGTTTAGAATCAAAACTCAAAAACAGCAAATTACCGTTAATAGCATAGAAAAGGTTTTATAACTAAACAGGGCGCAGATGCTCTTCTACATCCTGTTTAGAATCTATCAAATACCCAGACTCATCAGATTCACCGAAAACTGCATTATCGTTTCGGATCAACCGATAGATAGATACTCAAGGAAAATCAATGAACGACAGGATGTTAAGTCAGGTGTCGCAACGCCTTTGATTACGTCTGCCTTAATTGCAAACAAAACGCCAGGAAGAACCAATTCTAAACTGAAACTAATGTAATATTTATTTATTGTGACTAAATGCATCGAGCAATCCAGAGACATGAGCAAACTATTTTATATATATTTATTTTATACACTCACCGGCAAAATTAACGGAACACCTTAAAATTGGGACATGTTAGATGTCTCGAATTTCCTAAACCTGTTGTCCGATTTTAGTGATTTTTTTAGTATGTTATAGGTATATTATTTAAGAATATCGATGTAATAATATTGTTGCTAGACAGGTCAATGTCATTTTATACCGGGTGTAACAATCCTACTGTGTTTTTTCCTTAAAGTTCGGAACACCCTGTGGAATATTCTAGCATATATAAAATATTGAAATTAAAACTTAATTATAGCCTCAGGCTTTCTTAACATTTTCTTTTTTGATTCATTTGCTTATGTTTGATAATAAAAAAGTTAGGTACGTTAACAACTAGCCATGTTTTTCATCAATAAATCCTCATTTTCTGCTTAGTTTAATAAACAAGCCTAAAGTAGGCTATGAGAAGTTAACAATTTAATACACACACCGGCAAATTTAAAGGAACCTGTTATTAATGCAATATTTCTTTATATTTGTATTTTATAGACTATATCTACATAGCTTTGAAAGCTCCTTGTCACAAGAAAGTCTTAAATGTCAAATTAATTTGTTTATTTGTATTGTGTTTTACATTTTACAGTCATTCTGTCTGTTCATAACAAGTACAAACTTGTATTTAATTGAGCGCATAGTAAGAAAGAGACTTAAAAAAGCCGGTCTCAAGTCATATGTGCCAATAAAAGCTCCCAGACTCCAGAGACACCATCGTTTAGCACGACTACAATTTGGTCGAGTACATCAAAATTGGAATGATAACCACTGGAGTCAAATTCTCTTTACGGACGAGAGCCGTTTCTGTGTAAATTACATCGACGGTAGAGAAAGATTGTATCAACGCCAAGGAGAACGAAATGCCCCTTTCAATTTTACTACGACCGTACCTTTTGGTGGAGGTTCAATTATGGTGTGGGGCGGTATATGTTTGGGAGCAATAACAGAGTTAGTGGTGATTGATGATGGAGCATTAACAGCAGATAAGTATATCAGAGATATTCTCCAAGACCATGTGGTACCTTTTTCACCATATATTGGCGAAAATTTTATTTTAATGCAGGATAATGCGAGCCCACACGTCGCAGACTGTGTAAGATATTTCTTATTACAAGTGGGTATAACAACGATGAATTGGCCAGCTTGTTCCCCAGACCTAAACCCGATAGAGGATATGTGGGACATGCTAGGCAGAAAACTTAGGGCACGGGTTCCTGCTATTCAAAACAGAGAGGAAGTCACAATTGCTTTGATTGAGGAATGGGAGAGACTGCCCAACAACTGATCGATAGCGGTATCAGAAGTATGAGAAGACGAATAACTGCAGTTGTAAGGGCTCGTAGGGGAAACACACGCTATTAAAGCCAAAAAAATGCATAAAAAACCAATTTAAGTTCAAACTGTACAATAAAGTTAATGCGTTTAAAATCCGTATTTTGTTGAGTCTGACATCTTTGTGTTTTATTTCTTCTTAAACAGGTTTTATATTGTACTACCATTGTAATATAAATTCAAAATACTTCACCAACATTCGTATTATGATATTATCTAAACAGTATATAGACTAGAGAGAAAATACTCAGATTTTATGGTTGTTCCTTTAAATATGCTGGTGAAACTAAGAAGAAAATGAGCATTTATTGATGAAAAACATGGCTAGTTGTTAACGTACCTAACTTTTTTATTATCCAACACAAGCAAATGAATCAAAAAAGAAAATGTTAAGAAAGCCTGAGACTATAATTGAGCTTTAATTTCAATATTTTATATATGCTAGAATATTCCACAGGGTGTTTCGAACTTTAAGGAAAAAACACAGTATGATTGTTACACCCGGTATAAAATGACATTGACCTGTCTAGCAACAATATTATTTCATTGATATTCTTAAATAATATACCTATAACATACTAAAAAAATCACTAAAATCGGACAACAGGTTTAGGAAATTCGAGTCATCTAACATGTCCCATTTTTAAGGTGTTCCGTTAATTTTGCAGGTGAGTGTATATATTTTGATAAATAATGTATTTTTATTTGTTGCAGAAGTAGAATTAGATAAAAACCGTACGTGGTGTCCCCGTGCGGGCTGTGAAACCGTCTGCAATATGTGCCCTCAACAAAAATGCTCTCCACAGGGCGTCTTTTGTCCAACGTGTACCAACGAGTTCTGTAGTAATTGCAAGCTGGAATGGCACGAGGGTCTTTCCTGCGAAGAATTCGGTAAGCAGTTGTCGAAAGAAGGTAAAACCGAAGAACCTGGCATACCGTTCGATTCGGATCTCATTAAGTGCTGCCCCATGTGTAACGTTCCTATCGAGAAAGACGAAGGCTGTGCTCAAATGATGTGTAAGAGATGCAAACATGTTTTCTGTTGGTATTGCCTAGCCAGTCTTGATGTAAGTATTATTTTAGTTTTATAATTGACGTTAAAATCCAATAAAAATATTGTTAATCGGTTATTTATTTTTTTATACAATATTTTATTATATTTATGATTGATATTTTATGAAAATATCAGGTGCCATCTAGTTCCCTTTAAAAAAGACACTGAGAATGTCATTGTATTAGATTTACTTCTATTTAATTGACCACGATCCTCCATCTCCCAATGTAACTATCATGTAATCATTCTGATAGAAACTTGGCTAAATCAAGATTTTTCAGATGATGAATTGTCAAATCATGGCTACCACATTTTCAGATTGGATCCTAACTAAAATGAGCATCGTAGAGGAGTTTTAATTTTGTTACTAAACAATTTTAAAGCTAAACAAATCAAATCTGGCGTTAATAATGTTGAGCATCTGTTTGTTTAAGTAGATGATGAACGTGCATCATTTATCTTGGTGGATTATACATTCCTCGGCTCTTGAAACTATTAAAAACAATAGGCCAGATGTACCTTTATATTTATTTATCAACTACAGAGTGTACCACTTCTTGGGCGTACTCAAATGAAGAGGGCCTGTTCGTTGACTGTCCACAAAAGTATCCAGCAAAAAACTTACCTAAACCTGGGGTAATCAAATAACATATCAAATCAACATGGAATATTTTTGGATCTCATTTTCCACGGTATTGAAGATTATCCACTGTATAATGATGATAGACCCGAAGACCCGGAGACTTTAGTTTAAGCTCAAGGACCAGAAATACTAAAATCAGAAATACTGCATGCTATAAAGTTAGCAAAGAACAAGAAAGCCGTTGGCCCTGATAAGATACCGACAGAGATGTTAAAGCTTATAAATGAGGAGAACATTGGAATACTAGTGAAACTTTTCAATGATGTTTATTCGACTGGTGATATCCCTGAAGATTGGTTAAAGTCCGAATTCATAACACTACTAAAAAAACAACGTCCGAAAAACTGTAGCGATTATAGAATGATAAGCCTTAAGAGCCACACTTTGAAAATATTTCTACGCATCATCCACAGTAGAATCAGAGATAAATGTGAAGAAGATCAGGATGAAACACAATTTGGCTTCAGAAATGAACTGGGAACTCGGGACGCCCTCTTTGCACTAAATGTATTACTGCAGAAATGTCGAGATCAAAGGAAAGACGTCTTTGCTGTATTTATTGACTATGAAAAGGCCTTTGATCGAGTACAGCATCACAAACTAATTACAATATTAAAAGATAAAGGAGTTGATAGTCAAGACATACGATTCATAGAAAAGTTATACTGGCGTCAAACAACGACAGCTTGCATAAACGGAAAATTAACAGAAATATGTAAAATACAAAGAGGTGTCAGACAGGGTTGTATACTATCCTCACTGTTATTTAATTTATATTCAGATAGAATATTTAAAGAAGCGCTGCATAATTTGGAATGGGGCGTGAAAGTTAATGGAATTCTGATAAATACAATCAGATATGCAGACGATACAGTTATTTTAAGTGATGACATGAATGGATTACAATGCCTTTTAAACGCCATTGATACAGTGGGAAGAGAGTTTGGCCTAAACATAAACTGTTCAAAAACAAAACACATGGGGTTTAGCCGTTTAGCACATCAAGATGCACGATTATATGTTGATGGTCATATAATTCAAAGAGTGTCCAGTTTCAAATATCTTGGTTGCCATATTAGTGAACAACTAGATCCAGATCAAGAGATAAAATGTAGAATCGAGATAGCCCGCACGACATTTTTAAAAATGAGGTCATTCTTCTGTAATGATAACTTGAAACTTCAACTTCGAAAGCGTATGGTTAAATGCTACATTTGGTCAGTCCTCTTATACGGCGTCGAAGCATGGACATTAAAAATATCCACCATTAATCGTCTGGAGGCCTTTGAAATGTGGCTGCACAGGCGTATACTAAAAATTCCATGGACGGCTATGCTGACAAATTTGGCAGTCCTTGAGAGAGCAAATGCTGCTCGTGAGCTGCTTGATAACATCAAATGTAGAAATATGGCCTATTTTGGACACGTAGTAAGGGGAGACCGATATAATATTTTTCAACTTATTATGATGGGTAAAATCGAAGGACGCAGAGGAATTGGTAGAAAGCAGGCCTCTTGGTTGAAGAATATCAGAGAGTGGACAGGAATAAAGAAAGCTGAGCAACTCTTTAGAATAGCTCGAGACAGAGACAGTTTCGCCATGTTAATCGCCAACGTCAAGGGGACTTGATAGGGCACGTTAAGAAGAAGAAGATTATCAGAATCTTTCAGTAGAGGCATTTGACAACTTGCTTCCTAATAACTTTCATGTGGCAATTACTTGTGATCTTAGTTGTAATGCTAATTGTTAAAATTGGATTACAGTGCTACATATTTTGACTATCGAAATGCAAATTTTATAGGTCTTTATTTTCCGAAAAAAAAAACATATAGACCTTTTAAATCGTTTGGTTGGTTCTTTAGTTTTCTCCAAAAAAAAAAAAAGTCTGCTCATGCTAGTTTCAAAAATACTCAATCAGCAACTTACACGCTATTTTTAGATCACAGAAACAATGCAAAGTTTTAACAGATCGATGCTACAGATGTTATACCTCCAACATTGAAGAATCTATTCACTCAGATTCAAAACAATTTTGGAATCATGTAAACTCATTGAATAAATGCCACTAAATTCCAAATGTTATAAATTTTAATGATTGGCAACTGGATCAAGTAAGGAAATAAAAAATTTGTTTGCGAGCCATTTCTCTAGCATCTATCGCTCAGTTAAAATTAATTTAAGTAACTTCAATTTTAAAGTAAAAGATCCTGTTGACATTGACATTGAAAGATGTGTCTACAGTTTATCAAAACCTTTACATGCATTATTTGTTGTTGTTTGTTTGGGTTTATATGACTGCGGAAACTAAATCCATTCGCCAACATGTATTATTTAATTTATCTTCCCTAGTTTAAGGCACACCTTCCCTAGTGACAGTTATATAACTCTGATATTTAAAAACGGTGACAGAAGCAATAGAAAAAATTGTTGTTTGTTGTTATATTATCTGCCATCAACTTTTGCGTGCCAACTAATTCTAAACATAATATATCTCTTCGCATTATAGAAATCCCTTGAATAATGAGCATTTAGGCATGGTAAATCTACCTGTCCAAATCTTGTTCTGTATCATTACATTTTCAAGGCTTTCGAGGGTGAATACCAAGTGGGCTCCTTTTATACCATGACTGCAGGAATGTTGGCGCGAACATTTCTGACAGTAGGATTTTGATTGATGAGTGGAGCGGACGCTCTGTTTATGGAAAACCCACCCATAATAATCGTTACTTTCATGCCAACTCTCATCATTCACCTTCACAAATTAATTCAGTCATCAATACCCTTGTCTCCAGATCAATACGCCTTTGCGATGATGCTAGTAGACCCGCTAAGCTATAGTTTAAAACAATTCCTTATCCAAAAACGTTATCGCGAGAATTACATCAATATGAGCATCCTCAGACATCAATCTCCCACTCAATCTCAACCCAAAGGCTCAGACCCTCATAACACAAAAGCTTTTCTTCCTTACATCAAAGGTGCCACTGACAAAATCGACAAAATTCTTAAATCAAGAGGAATAAAGACAAAAACTTTTGTCCCCAACAAAAACTGTCATCTCCTGTCCGATCAATCAAAACCAACATTCCAAATGAACAACACGTAGTTTATGAAATTCCTTGTGCAGACTGCTCCGATCCTATATAGGTCAAACAAATCATAGAATCCAAAATAGGATTTATGAACATTCCATTTCTGTTCGCATTTCCGACTCAATTTCAACTCTAGGTGAATACCATCTTATACAGGTCACAAAATTGATTTTGAAAACGACAGAACCATAGCCTCCATCCGCTTCTATAAACTAACAATAACTATAAACCAAGAATTATCCGAGAAGCCATAGAAATTGAAAAAAGGCCAAATTGTCTCAGTAAAAGAGATGACGGCCTACGGTTACCTTTGACGTGGAGACCTCGCATAAAGAAAATATCGTCTGCTCCAGTCATCCATCAAAATCCTACTGTCAGAAATGTTCGCGCCAATAACCGCACCAATCATCACGCCCCCATGCCAACCTCCACCTAAATCACGTCACCATCGACGGTATAAATAAATTATCTTCTGCTCCTAGTACCAGTAATACTCAGCGTACTAGTGTCCGGGGGCTCGGTAGACTTAGCGTGTGTTCATAACGAAGCGCCGACCCTCGCTCGGACCATGGGATGGTATCATCTTATCGATTTTCGGTAAAATAAATGCATTATTTTAAATGGAGCTCCGTCAGTGCTATGCTCTAGGCGAGCATACGATGCCATGGTCTCCGTTATGAACGCACTCTGAGACTTTGAACGCCCTGAAGAAGAAATCGAATTCCTGTAATAGTATTTATCTTAGCTCTAGGTTTTATATATATATATATATATATATATATATATATATATATATATATATATATATATATATATGTAACTTAGAGCTAAGATTAATATTATTACTAAAATTAATATCAAACTCACCAGTCTTCCGGGTTAAACTGCGTCGATATCCATTTTGCCGAGCTTTCGGCATCCTCTCTGATGCCTT